GGGGGTTCAATAAGGTAAAGGAAGAGCACAAACATTTAATTACTTTGCCACCTCTACGAACAATTTTTCTTTGATAAAATAGCAACAAAATTACCTCTATGCGTAACTTATAGCTTAGTAGTTATCAGATTAATGAACAACTACTCTACAAGACATAAGATACCCAAACGATTAAAAACGTCAATGAGATATGTGATTCTTAGAAAACTGAAATGTTTCCAGAAGATGTAGAGATCGTAGAGAAATATTTGGAAGCTTACTTGCTCTGAGACCGCCTTTCTCTGTCGCTTGGTGACTCTGGACTTCTGCATTTGGCCGGAGGGGACGGTGAGCGGCGAGGGGGCGTTGGCGACCTCGGTGGGGGTGTGGGCGTCCTGGGCACAGCAAGCCGAATGTCGAGTTTGCTGTGGTGCTGAAGTTGTTCGGCGTGGAGAAGTTGGTGCAAATGCAGAGGGCGGTGTAGGAGGTGGTGGTGGAGAAAATGATGGCGACTGTGGTGGTGGTGGTGATGGTGATTGAGAAAGTTATGTTCGAGGGGGTCACTCCGTTGATGTCCTTGATGACGATGATGCTGATGATGGTGGTGATGATGCAGAGGATGGTGGAGGGAGCGCCGGGCTCGTCGGCTGTCCACAGTGCCGCTGTTGCTGTTGTTGCGACTACTGCTGGAGTTGATGGGGAAGGAGTCGGTGCTTGTGACGGAGTTGGTAGACGTGGAGCTTGTCTGCCTCACTCTGTGCCGGTTCTTTCTCTTGGACACGGCCTGTGGCGGAGGTAAAAAGAATGCAGAGCGTGAGGAGGCCGTGTGAAGGTAGATGTTGGAGTAGACTACTACTGGAGACAGACAGGCTACGAGGCTTCGACACAGACATGCATGCACACATGCAGACAGGCAGGAAGGCAGGCAGGCAGGCAGGCACGCATCACTAACTTGTGAAGCATGAACCCATATATTCATAAAGGGGTAGAGCAAATAATACGATGTCTTATCAAAGGGTCCACCCACAGAGTCTGAATTCGAAAGATAAAAATTTGTTTGGGACAACATTTCTCGCTTTGTAATTTGACATATTGATCCAATTCATAGTCGCCTTGAGCAAAAAGCAATTGTTTTGGGGAGTTTTTGCGTGTGTTTTTGTTGGGGGTCTTTTTAAGTACCGGCACGGCACCCTCTCTTTTGTTCAATTAATAAGCCTTTTAAGAGTCTTCCACATTTCTACTACGACGAGATACTCCAAACGCACGGACTGTGAGAATACGTCGAGCTTCGGGCCATTGACGAAATACTTAAGAAGAGATTTAAAGCCCATGAATTTCGCGACTGTAAAATCCTCTACCTGTGGAGCACAATTCACTCGTCTAGACAATTTGTTACGATGTGGCCTCAAAACTAAAACCAATCCGTCATTGAAATAGTCCGTCGGTAGAGAAAACAAAATACAATCCTCCAAATATAACAGATATGGTATCCAGCAGTGAGTGACATTTATGGAGACATCTTTTATCAGCTGCCGATGTGGATCTTCAGTACAAACACTCCCAAAACGCACGCATACTTCACGAAAACGACAGTCTCTTTTTATGGTAACAGACACCAAGCAGGTGGTTGTAGAGCGCCACTGGTAGGTCTTGTTTTTTTCCTTTTCTCTTTGTTTTTTCTGTCTGTCTTTCTTCTTTTTTTCCACGTGTTAAACGGTCGTTATTGCGCTGAGTTGATGTGCGTTTCTTTATTCAAACAGACACCGCAGATGGAACACAATTTTACAACGTGCGGAATATGATAATATAATACAATAGTCGTGGACACGAGATATAGCGTCTTGGCAGACAGTCGCGAGCACGAAAGGATAAGTGGAACGGTACCAGACTTTGCACTGCAACACGTGCACATAAAAGTCAATATCCAGAAACGCAATTAGGGGTGCTGTGTATTGACGGGTGGCTCGAGGAGACAGACATATTCGGGAGCAGGCAAACATCCTGGGTGGCAGTTCAGTTGGATATCTGAAGACTCGTGAAAATAGACAAGTTCAGGAAAAGGTGGATACCCGGAAAAGGAACGTAACTGATTAATTGAGACTCAAAAAAACAGATCCAGGAGTATGCGGATATGTGAAAAACATAATTTGGATAGTCGAGTACTCGAGAAAACAGATTCGGGAAAAGGCAGATGTATTATCCCAGCAGACACGCGATGATTCAGATGACCCAGAAGGTAGACGGTGATTAGTCGATAGATGGACGCTCGAGTTACCAACTGAATTTCATTTTAGTGCAAGTCGGCGGACTCGTCGATAGCGTGTTAAGATACTGGATTTCCAGATAAGCAAAGAGGAATCCAGATATGTAGGCAGGTGAGTCGGCGGGCAGATCAACAGCAGAGGAGCGGCGTTTAGAAGAATATACACCGGAGAAAAGAACAATGATACTGTGATGTTAAAATCAACTTATTTGGACGTTTCTGGTGTGGTCTCTTAAATATCTGTTGTAGGTACCCGGTATCTGCCTCAACGCCGTGGAAACTGAGGACGTGGGCATGTAGACGGAGCTCCTGGTCTGACGCTAAAACAATGTTTCCAACGCCGAAGAAAAAGGGGCAAATTTCGCAGGTAGAGTCGCAAACACAGACGAACCTTCTCATTTTCTCAAAGCCACGGACGATAGTGCACCTTCAGAAGCAAACAGTTGCCATGAAAACAACAATTCATAGCTTTCATGTAACATTGTATACTGCAACATGGTTCACTCGTCTATTGGAGAACCCTTGAAAAAAACCCACAAAAAAACCCCAATAACCTGTCCCCAAAGATCTGGCTGTGACATATATCATTAAAGATGTCATATGTCTTGTATGACTTTTAAAATATATAGATCTATAAGCAAACACTCTTAAAGAGCCTCAGTTTGAAAACGACGCGAAACACTTCATTCAGAGCCCATGGAGTATTTATGTTAAGGCATGACACTTTCCTAAAATGATTTTTTAAAAGAATGAACCATTATGTTGTAGGAAATCCTTTTTTTTTCTTTTGTATTGAGATTTGATCACTGGAACTGGAATTCCACGAATGTGAATTGTTCACCAACATTTCAAATCATCGAGTTTTTTAAATGCCAGTTTGAAACTTGTCAGATCTAATAAATGGACTGCCGTGGATTAAATGAGAACTTGGGAATCCTGTTGGCAAGAATGAAACAAGGACTGGAGCAATGTTCCGGTCTTAACTCTTAGATTACATCTTTACTGACGAATAAAAAAAATTAGTATTAGAATAATGTGGATTTAATAAAATAGTCAAATTTTCATTTATGTCAAACATAAGATCAATCATTCCATTTGGGGTCTTCATTTTTCAATACTCATCCCTTCCAAATATATGCCTCTGCGTGGCTGAATGAGTGAGTGAGTGAAAGAGTGAGTGAGTGAGTGAGTGAGTGAGTGAGTGAGTGAGTGAGTGAGTGAGTGAGTGAGTGAGTGAGTGAGTGAGTGAGTGAGTGAGTGAGTGAGTGAGTG